CCGCCGGTGCCCACTTCCTGCTGGCCCCGGGCCTGCGCTGGGCATGGTCTTTCTTCTCTCTCCAGGTCCTAGAAAAGGAGAACAGGAAGCCGGGGCAGAGCCCGTCTCGCAGGCCCGGCAGCAGGCGCAGGGCCACGGTCCCGAGGGCGCGTCCCGGCCTCAGGCCAGCGAGGGGCCGAGGGACACCGGCCAGCCCAGCGCGCGGCGAGACGACACCTCTCCACGGGGGCCGCTCGGCCCCACTCCCTGGTCTTAGGCAGATTTGGGAAGACGGAGGAAGGAGACGCAGGTTTTCTTTTCATTTCATGGATCCCTGCCCTGTATTTAAAGCAGGCCCTGGGCCTTAGACACAGCTGGCGCGCCGGTAATTATTTCAAACACTTAAAAAAGCTAGTTAATGATGTTCAACATAAGTAATCATGTTAAATAGTAAAATTTAATTTCTTAAAAACCTAAATCCCCCTATCTCCTGGAAGGCATTGTTCTGGGGGATGTCTGAGTAAATTAAATTCTCTCCCGCTCACTAAGGCATCAATTTCCGTATGGTAATTATCTGCTACAGTGGATCTGTCAGAGGCGGGGAGCGAGCCTGACATTAGACCCTCTTTACAGAAAATGATTACAAAAAATTAAGACGAATGAGTGAAATTACGGGCGGCTGGTGAGCCTCCGCGAAGCCCCCATGGATCACCCGGCGTCGGGCGGCATTGTGCGGGGCTAAGCCTTTAATGACTCGCCGCACCGTCAGGAGAGTCCATTACGGGCTGGCAGAGTCACCGATCACACAGATAACAGCAGAAGCGATTTTCCGCCAAGTGGAAGCAATTTATTACACACAAAGGCCCGTCTCTAACAGAAGCATCTGCACAGAGGGACCCCATGGAGTTGGCAGGATCTCTCCTGGGAAGTTGGACACGCGGCAATGCTGGGTCCCCCGGGTGCTCACCTTGGCTTCAGGCCTCCCTCGGGGTCACTCGCCTGGGTCAGCAGGAGTGCGCTGGCCACCCAGGGTCCCCGTGTCACGTTGTCCCCGTGGCCGTGTCCTCAGAAGCAGCTTGGGACGAGCAGACTGGACGAGGCGACTCCCAGGCAGCTCCCCAGACCCCTGGGCATCATGTCCTTGCCCCCAGGGCTGCAGTGGGTGGGCCAGGTGGGGGCCGTGGGGCAGGTTAGCAGGCGCAGGTCGGAGCTGGGCTCGGGGGACGGTCCACATGGGAGGGGAGCCCAGGTTGGTCCCAGGGGCACGTCCACGTGGGAGCAGCAGCTGTATGTCCGTGGGATGGTCCTAAGTGCCCGGGGCTCTGCGTGTCCCGTCGCCCTCCCAGCACCGTCCCAAGGAGAGTGAGGGGGGAGCACAGGCCTTCGCCACAGCCGGGCGCAGAGCCGAAGCCTGTGGGCCCAGCAGCTGCTCCGAGGACCCCGACTCTGACGCGGGCCAGGGAGCCGGGCGCCAGGGCTCGAGGTCACAGAGCTTACAGGGCACCCTGGGAACTTAGGAAGTTAGACAGACAAGGGCTAGGAACGGAGTTTCCACCAGGAGTAAGCGAACACGCTGGTCCCACAGGCAGCGGCCGGGCCCCAGGAGGAGCGGGTTGGACAGGAGGGTCCCCACACACGGCAGGAGGTGCACCCGAGCCCGCGCGGCTCCCACGAGGGGAGCTCTGACGGAAGGGTCCCCTCTGCCCCTCCCCGAGGAAGGGGTGCTGTCGCTGTGGCTTCAGAGCCTGAGGCTCCTGAGGGACAAGCCATGAAGAGTTCGAAGAAGCCGTGATGAGGCCACAGCCACAGACAGCGTCGCCGCCTCGCCAACCCGCCTCCGCCCACCGGGGGAGGTTCGCAAGGTCCCTGTGCTTGCAGAGGTACCGGGCGCTCACCCCACCCGAGATCCCCACCCTGAGCTCCGGGAGCCAGCCTGGCGTCCCCAGGGGCTGAGGGAGGCTGGCAGAGCCATGCAGGGGTGGTGAGCCCCCTGCACTGGCCTTTACAGGTGCCCGGCACTGTCCCAGGGCAGGAGGGCACCTCCACTGTTCTGTGGGGCCCAGAGCCGAGTCCACTGGGCAAAAGGCCGGAGCCGCGCCTGACAGGCAGTGGCCACTGCCCTCGGGGAACACGGGGCCCATCTGTCTGCTCCGAGGAATCCTACGCGGACGGTGGTTCCCCCAGACAGCCCCTCAGGAACAGAGGGGGGAGCCCCCAGGGTCTCCCTCCACACAGGCTCCTGCAGGAAGCCGGCTGACCCCCAGCACATTCGGTGACCGGGTCACTCGGGGCCACCCCTGCCCCTGCCCTTCCCGGGTGTTTGGACGTCGCTCACCTGGCCGTCCTCAGGTGGCCTCGTGGAAAGCCGCCTGTGTGAGGTCACTGCTGCTGCGCACAGGCCGACTCCAAAGGGCCTTCGGCTCTGCAGCTGGTGAGCTTATGAAACAATCCTGGGAGGGGCACAGGCCACTGGCTCCGGCATCCGCACCACCACACGTTAACCGTGCTCAGAGCGGAGCCTCTGCTCCCAGCTCTGAAGTGAATTAACGTTTCCTGACCTTTAATGGGTGGCAGCTGAGACACATTCTTTTAAACAGAAAAACCATGAAGCTGGTCACCTAGCGTACACATGCCGACCCCCTTCATGAGCGGATTCAGCAGGTCTTTTCCCAAAGGAAGGTGTGAGGGGCGTGTGCAGTCCACGTGGAATGACGGAGCACGTGAACTTCACGTGGACTGACCGCGATGGATCCCCACGTTTCACAGACGGATTCAGACCCATCTTCTGCTACACTCACCACCCCTACCTACGCCCTGTGCTCTCAGGTCTTTAAAGGATCACACATTCAGGTGGCACCTGACAGCAAAATACATGGGAGCAGACACCTGCAGGAGGGCAGGGCGGCCGAGTCACCCCCTGGGGGCCCCTTGCTGCTCCGGGGGAAATGCCCCTCCACAGGGGAGCCCCGGCCCCGGTGGTCTGACACACATGTGTGCACGTACAGAATTCTCTTTCTGAAAATAATTATGCCCAAGGCATCAGGTGGGATCAGGCGTGTGAAGCACACTGTGAGCTCTAACAGGACCCACAGACCTGAGCACATAGGTGTCACTGTGTGGGGAGGTGGGAGGGTCTGCACGGCCACACCTGTGTGAGGGCCTGCAGCCGGCACCGTGATCAGGCCACACGCGGACGATGCTGACGTGGATGCATGTGGCCCTTCCTGCCCATGACCTTCACGGGGCCTGTGGGACGCTTGTCCCTCTAAAGCCCTAGAGCCAGGCGAGGGTGTCTGTCCTCCTTCATGGCCTGTCCCTGGTGAGGCTGCCCCTAGTGACAGGACAAGGGAGAGGCCATTTCTCTTGGTGGATAGGTTTCCCCACTGACAACAGGTGGACCTGGACTGGATGCTGTCACTGTGACAACCTGTGATCTACGCTACAAACAACTGCACTGACCTGGTCAAGACATGAACCCCTAGGAGGCCTAGCACCCCACTAAGAGGAGTCTTCTCCAATAGACCCCTCACCACGGGAGGCCTCAGACTACTTCGGCCGCTTGCGTGGAACGGTGGCATCGCAGGGCTTGCCGGCGACCAGGGCTGGGCCCCTGACCCGTCTCAGTCGGAAAAGAGCCTCCAGCCTCATGCAGCTGCGGGGCCCCTGCGTCCTTTATTCCCAGGGATCGTGGACAGCACCTCCCCAGGCTGAGGTCAGTCTCACTGGACGCTGCCCTTCAGTAGCCTGCAGTTTCTCTCTTCCTATCACTGAAGGGGTTGTAGGGCTTTACGGTTGTGACCAATCGGGACAGGGGTGCCTGGCGACGGAAGAGGTCAACCGCCATCTCTTCCCGTAAGACACTGAAAAAGAGTAGAAATAAAAACTGACACATCAAATAAACATAAAAACATAAGCTGCAGTAAGAGCCACAGTGACCGTGGGGGGAAGTTTCCATGTAGAAGCAGATTTCTCTGAAACACATGAGCAACACCGGAGAGCCGGACTGCACGGCCGGGAAGGTGCAGCCCATCAGGATGTGGGGGTGAGGCCTGAGATCTTTCGGGAGAGAAGACGGATTGTGACAAAAGTGAGGAACCAGAACGCTCTCATTCCCCTCGGAGAGCACCTTTGAGCTGGACCCTCCCCGACTTACCCGCCTAGAGTCCCACCCCAGCACCTGGGGACAGCGTCTAAAGGACAGATGTGAGGAATTTAACTTGACACTGTTTCCTTAGGTCCTTCACATAGAATGAAGCACATGAACTACCTACAACTCTGCCAGGCCCGCCTTTGGAAAGGGGTGTGTGACATCTGAAAATGCATCTTGAGAGAAGACTGACTGGACGCAAAACATCAGCCGAGAAAGATGACTTTTCAAACACAGAGTGGCTCTGACACACTCTCAGCATCCGGGCAGTGCCCCCCTGCTCTTAGCAGCAGCAGGGGAAGGAGCTCTCCATCCCTCTGGACTCAGCACCCCATTTTTAGACCAGGTATTAACTGCTCTGTGATGCATGGCGTCACGAGGTGCCCCACTGTCCGGGCAGACTGAGGAGTGGGTCCCACACTCACCGGTGCACTTCGGAGTCCACTGAGGGGGCCGCTGCCGGGATACTGGAGTTTGCCGGGTGGGTGGCTGTGAAGTGGACCTTCCCTGTGTACCCAGGAATGTTGGCAGAGCTGGAGGAAAGGGTTAAGGGGGGGAGGATTATGATGTGAAATACTCGTGGTCACCAGCACCCAAACCTGGAAACAGGCAGGAGCGGTCCAGCGGCTTTGTCCTTTGGAAGGTCCGAAGTCGGCTGCCGTAGCTCTCCTCCAGGCCTGAAGAAACTCACCTTGGATCCACGTTTTCTTATCATTTGCATTTTCACGTATTTTATGAACATAATTCGCTGCTGAGCTCGTTTCCTCATGAGGGCAGAGCCTGCTCTTGACACAGCAGATTGTGCCCCATGCAGAACTCAAGGCCGACTCCAGTGCAAGGGGATGTAACCGTGTTTTTAAATAATATTTCCTCCTTGTCACCACTGTGCGCCGTATGGCTGATCTCACGGTTAAACGCAGCCCCACTTACTCCTCTGCTTCCCCACCCGTTTCCCTCCAGCCAGTGAGGAGACAAGATAAACACAAAATGTGTGTGTAGAAAACCCCTGTCTACAGTCAAACCAGCATTCAGGACAACAGCTCAGTACCCACCTGAGCGCAGCATCTCTGCTGCGTTTATAGCACGCGACATGCTGTGCTCGGCGCGCCTTTTGCGGGGAGGAGGCTCAGTGTGAGCTGCTTCAGACACGGGCCTTCACCTCAGGGGCTGGGGGACGTGCTCCAAGGAGCAAGAACATGCTGTGTGCAGGGGTGAGGTCACCCCAACAGCGCGCCACCTTTCTGGCGCTCAGCTCTCAGCCTCCTCTCCTGCGAGGCCTCAGCTTCTGGGGCTGCTCCAGAGGGACACAGACACCAGCAGCATGACATGCCCTGAGCACCGAGAGGGCCGGGGCCGGCTGCCCCTCCCGCGCACTCAGCGTGGACCCCATCCCTTGGCCCCTCTCTGAGAGCGTGATGTCGGGGGGGCTCCTTATCCTACCTGAGCCACCAAACCCCGAGGATGGGTGACAGGGAAGTGGGACCCTCCTGGTGAAAGTGTCTCTGGGGAAAAGGTGGCGGCTCAGATCGCAGCCCCTTGGTGGCCTTCAGAGCACCGACTGTGTGTGAGAAACGTCCCTAACACGCCTCCCATGTGTCTTCCCAGGGGTCGTCTGTGACCGTATGTGATGACTCTCAGGCTTGTGGGGACAGTCGGGACACCTACCGAGCAGCGAGAGGCCACATCCAGGGCAAGGGCAGCACAGACGGCCCGTCAGAGGGAGCCAAGCGCCCTCCACCCCACCCCACTCAACACCTCGAGAACCTCAGGTTTACTCGGGGGGGAGCCCTGGGCCTCACCCAGCCCCTGCAGCTGGGAGACACCGCCAGGCCTCAGGGGCACCCTGGGGAGAAAGGGACTCAGAGAAGGCGAGAGCAGCCAGCAGAGCTTTGCACTTAGGTGCTGTCAGTAGAAATACGAGGTTTTAAAGAGATCAGAAACGTGCACACAGGCTCCCAACGGGTGGAGCAGGCAGGGTCAGTGCAGTGTGGGCAGCCGTCCAGACGCCGGGACAGCGGGTTTCAGACACTGCTGCACAGGCTCGTGGGGGCTCCTCTAAGGCGCTGACGCCCGACTCCCAACACCGGCCGTTCTGACCGGGCTGGTGAGGCTGTGACCTGGGAACTGGGCTTCCTAAGACCCTCCAGGTAATTCTAGGTGGGGTGGGGTTTGGAAGCATCTGTTTTAGAGCCACAGTCTCGGGTTTGCTGGAGAAACCGGGGAGGGGACCAGCACCAAATTCTGGGAAGTGTCCTTCCGGGTGTCTTGGAGTTTTCTTGTACACGTGCGGCTGTGTGTCAGAAAGACAACCAAAAAGCGGGAAAACTGTTTTCTGGGTGCGCTCTCCCCAGACACCCACAAAGGCTCCCATGTGTGGTATGGAGGAAGTCCCTGCCTGTATCCACGCCCCGGACACCTGCAGAGTGAGCACCTCTGAGTCACAGCTGCCCAAGCAGCTGAGGAGTCAGCCAGCAGCAGCCGCTCATCAGTCCTGAGAAGGGCTGGATGTAAAACATGCAGCTCCACGAGCCGTGGGAGGCAGGGCACTGATGTTCTCTTCTCTCCCATTATCCAGAAGTTCTTCCGCCTGCCGACACTTGTGCCTCTTCAGAGAACTATCACTTCTATCCCGTTGGGTTTATATTCTATCACATTCTGTTATATTCTATTACATCACCTCTAATCACAATGCACCAGGAGCGAGGAGCCTGAGTGAGCAGCAGGCTGCCAGGCCGGAGGAACTAAGCTGCATAATGAACTTTCCCCTGTGGGAAAAGGCAGGTCCTCCCCACACTGCCCCCAAATCCCACCAATGCACCTCTGAAGGGCGTCACAGGGACGTTTCTCCACCCTAACAGTACCGTGCTGACTCATAGCACTACGAGGACAGTCGCTGGTGGACCCTCCACAGATGGCTCATAGATGACACTATTTTTCAGGTGGAGCAAAGTTATTAAAGACAGTGGAATATGCAGCCTCTAAGATGGATTCCGGATGAGGTGCATGCCCAGAGCCCCGTCTCAGGACAGCAGGGAGCAGCAGGACCCATCTAAAAATAAGAGTCCTCACTTTCGCCTTCGCTCCACTTTCTAGTCCCCTGAACACGTTCTGTACCCCAGTTCCCAAAATACACCCAGACGTTTTACTACTGGGTAAATTGGACTAAATTATTTCCTAGGTTTACTATGAATTGGTCTCGTTCAACAAAGCACAATAAAATAGAAATTAAATAACTTCAGAATATAAAAGGTTTAGTATATCAGAAAAGAGAGCACGGATGGTGTGTCATCAAGAGCTAAACAGACTATCAGGAAACAGAGAAGAGTATGTTCTCTGTAGAATACAGGCCGTGGCACATGGATTAGAACCTCTGTGTGCATGTCTCTGGATGACAGACATGACTAATACTCATGGGGGAGCACTGTACCCCGGGCACCTTTTAGATGCTCGGTGAATGGACTATTTAATCCTCACAGTGCGCTGTGTCGCTGGTCAGGCCCATTCCTTAGATGCAGGAATTGAGGCTTTGGGGAAAGTCTAAGGAATGTGCCCAGAGCTGACTCAGCAGGCAAGTGGCAGAGCTGACCCCGCCCAGAGACCAGGACAGGGATGAAGGTCCACCTGCTGGGAGATGCCCTGTGCCCTCGAACCCAGGACTTCCTGCGGAACCAGGGCAGCTCTGCCAGGTCGAGGGGCAGTGGTCATTCAGGGAGGGTGTGAGTTCAAGTCCACTCAACTGTCCTTTACAAAGCACTGCTCTGTCAGGTACAGATCCAGGTAGAAACCATGCCGACTCCTGACAGCTGCCACAGTAAGGAGTAAAATTTAAATACTCATTTAGAAGCTGAATGAACACCAGTGGGGCAAAGTAAGTGGGGGGGGGGGG